CATTGTAAACCCTGAAGCAATCGTGCCATTTCTGAAAAATTTGGTATTCAAAAATGATAACAAAAATCACGTTTATGTACGAATGATGGATTCATCAGGGACAATAACTCCAATTCGATACGACGACTTGGTTTCGAAATAATCGGTTGTAAAGATCTCAAAAACTGCAAAGTTTTATTTTGCCGATTTTGGAAAAATGGTAGGTAGTAATTTTCGAAGAACTGAAGTTATAATACATTTCAGGAGTTCTAAATCAACAAAATAATCTACTTTGCAAAGTTTCTAAAGTACTAAAGAAATTTAAATTTTCGAGACGATGCCTAAAAATCTTCAAAAAATTCTGGAAGATACATTTGGACGAGTTGAACTCAAAAATATGGCATACTGCTGGTTCTGGTTCCAAGAAGAAAAAATCCTGTTTATGTAGGAATGATGGATTTACCAGGGACTCCAATTCGATACGTCGACTAGGTTTCGAAATTTTTAAAATATCTCAAAAACTGCAAAACTTTTCTTTTCGATTTTGGAAAAATGGTAGTAATTTTCGAACAACTGAAGGTGTAAAACAATTTAGGAGATTGGAATCAATGAAAAAATCTCCTTTGCGAAGTTCCGGAAGTTCTCCAAGAAAGGGCGAAAATTTCACAATGAGGAACTACCAAAAATTTAAAATTTTCGAGACGTTGCCCAAAAATCCTGAAAAAATTCTGGGAGATAGATTTCGACTAGCTAAATTCAAAAATATTGCATGTTTGTCGTCCCAGTTCGAAGATTGAGGGGTTACCATCGAAAATCCAGCAACAATAGTGCCATTTTTGTTAAGGAAGTATTTAACATGAATTCAAAAGAATTCCTGCTCAAAAATAATGAAAAAATGGTGTTTGTGTAGGAACAAGTGGTCTGTCAAGGACAGTAATTCCAAGTCGATACGACGACTAGGTTTCGAGATATTCTGTTTCAAAGAAACATTTTTAAAATACAGTAAAACCTGCCTATGCCGGAATCGCGTGGGTCCAAAATTTGTATCCGTCTTAAACAGGGTTCCGGCTTTTGCAGGAAACCCGGCTATGACGGAAAGTAAACCTCTATAAAACAGAAATCATTTTTTATTAAATTGAATACATATGTACATATAAAAGAATTATTTGAAATAGTTGTTTATTGTTATTTGCTTTTTCGGCCATTGAGATATATTTTCCATGCTTGTTCTCAACTGCAAAATTTTGGCTACACGCTCACCTCTTTGCCATTATTCTATAATTTATTTTAGGTATATGTTTTATCATTTGATACACTTACGTTTTTTGCAATCGAATTTTTGCAAATTTGTTTAACACTCAAATTTTGCTGCTCGTGTATATTAATTAAATCCGTCTTGCTGTTATTGTTGGTCGTTTTTTGGGCCATTGCGAACACACATATAACCACGAGAGACACCAATTAAATGAGAATTGAGAACAGTGATTTTTTGTTGACAAAAATGCACCTGCAGGGCCACGAATTGAATTACATATTTTTCGTAGAAATCATCAATTTTGTTCTCGCTTCCGTTTTACACAGAGTTGGGTGCATGTATTTTGACACGTTGGGACTTACAAATATTTTCCGTTTCCGCGTTATGCAGTTTCCGGCTTATACGGACCAAAATACATTAAATTAGGTATTTGAAAAAACGGGACTGCGGAAAATTTCCGCGATGAGCAGTTTTCCGCCTTCTACAGAGTCCGGCATAGGCAGGTTTCACTGTATCTCAAAAATTGCCAAATTTTATTTTGGCGATTTTGGAAAAATGGTACAAATTTTTGAACAACTGAAGTTGTAAAAAACTTCAAGTGATCGAAATCAACGAAAAAATCTCCTCAAAAATAATGAAAAAAATGCTGTACGTGTAGGAACAAGTGGTCTGTCAAGGACAGTAATTCCAAGTCGATACGACAACTGGGCCTCGAGATATTCGGTTTCAAATTAACATTTTCAAAATATCTTAAAAGTTGCCAAATTTTATTTTGGCGATTTTGGAAAAATGGTACAAATTTTCGAACAACTGAAGCTGTAAAAAACTTCAGGTGACCCAAATCAACGAAAAAAACTCCTTTGTGAAGTTCCGAAAGTTCTCCAGAAAAGGGCGAAAATTTCACAATGTGGAAGTACCAAAAATTTAAAATTTTCCAAATGTTGCCCAAAAATCCTGAAAAAAATTCTGGGAGATAGATTTCGACTAGCTAAATTCAAAAATATTGCATGTTGGTCGTCCCAGTTCGAAGATTGAGGGGTTATACCATCGAAAATCCAGGAGCAATAGTGCCATTTTTGTTAAGGAACTATTTAACACGAATTCTAAAAAACTTCGTACTCAAAAATCATAAAAAAAATGATGTTTGTGTAGGAATAAGTGGCCTGTCAAGGACAGTAATTCCAAGTCGATACGACCACTGGGTTTCGACATATTCGGTTTCAAATTAACATTTTTAAAATATCTCAAAAATTGACAAATTTTATTTTGGCGATTTTGGAAAAATGGTACAAATTTTCGAACAACTGAAGTTGTAAAAAACTCCAGGTAATCAAAATCAACGGAAAAATGTCCTTTGTGAAGTTCCGAAAGTTCTCCAGGAAAGGGCGAAAATTTCACAATGAAGAAATACCAAATATTTACAATTTTCAATTTGTTGCCCAAAAATCCTGAAAAAAAATCTGGGAGATAGACTGCGACCAGCTAAATGCAAAAGTGTGGCATGTTGGGGTCACAGTTCGAAGATTGAGGGGTTACCATCGAAAATCTAGGAACAATCCTGCCACTTTTATGAAAGAAATATTGAACACGAATTCTGAAAAACTTCATTGTCAAAAATCATAAAAAAATTGGTGTTTATATAGAAATAAGTAGTATGTCAATGACAATAATCCCAAATCTATAAGACGACTGCGTTTTGAAATATTCGGTTTCAAAGTAACATTTTTAAAGCATCTCAAAAATTACGAAATTTTATTTTGGTGATTTAGGAAAAATGGTAGTAATTTTCGAACAATCGAAGCTTTAAACTACTTCAGGGGATCGAAATCAATAAAAAAATCTCCTTTAAGGAGTTTCCAGAGTTCTCGTCGAAAGGTCGAAAATTTTACAACGGGAGGTTCCAAAAAATGGAAATTTTCGAAAAGTTGCCTAAAAATCTTCAATAGATTCTGGGAAATAGATTTTGACGACCTGTACCCAAAAATATGGCATTTTGATGACGGTTTTGGTTCCTAAATTGATGGACTATCATCGAAGATCCAGGAGCAATGGTGCTATTTTTGTGAAAGAAATATTTAACGTGATTTCTGAAAAATTTGGGGGTCGAAAATTAAAAAAGCACTCGTTTATGTAGGAATGATTTATTCATCAGTGACAATAACTCCATTTCGATACGACGATTAGGTTTCGAAATAATTGCTTAAGTATAAAGTCAAATTTTTAAAATATCTCAAAAACTACAAAATTTGATTTTGGCGATTTTGGAAAAATGGTATAACTTTTCGAAGATCTGAAGTTATAATTCACTTTAAGGGATCGAAATCAACAAAATAGTCTCCTTTGCTAGTTTCGAAAGTTCTTGGGGAAAGGTTGAAAATTTCGTAAGACCTACCATCGAAATTCCAGGAGCAATGTTGCTATTTTTGTTAAGGAAATATTTAGTGCAATTTCTAAAACATTATCTGTTTATCTAGGAATGATGGATTTATCAGGTACAATATTGATGAAATGGTAGAAATGGTAGGAATTTTCGAAGAACTGATGTTATAATACATTTCAGAAGATCGAAATCAAGAAAATAGTCTCCTTTGCTAAGTTTCGAAAGTTCTCGAGAAAAGGTCGCAAATTTCACAAGGAGAATATATTCTATATCATACATCATATCATATGTCACAGTTATCATATATCCTAAATCCTATCATATATCATATCATAGCAAAGAAGATATTTTTTGAAAAAAAAATACGATCTTTAAGATTTACCACAACAGACTTCTTTCGTAATATCTGAAGGAACTGAAAAAATTAGTGAAAGCATTTATTTTATTTGTATAGGAAAAAAGGAAAATAATGATCTGTGGATGAACAGCTCTGCGTATTAGCATGTGAAAATTTGCTTGGACGTGTATTAATTTTGGTGGTTGTTGATGATAAGGGAACTATCTGTTAAATCTTATCAAAATCGTGAAAATTCCCCCCTCCCTATCCGCAGCACTTGTTCTTAATGATTCCACATCCGCCGTTTTTCCCCTATAAGCTCGCCGCCTCTCGCAATAAAAAAGCCAATCCTGGCCGTGTTACATTTTTCAGCACCGGCCTTTATTTTTTCTTGTTCCGTGCGCCTCTCTTCTTGATCTAATCTAATTAATATTAATTGCAAGAGCGAGTGGAGCGAATTCCGAGAAACAAAACATCATAATTACGGGTATCAAGATAACAGAAAGCCAGCGGCCGGTAATAAAAACGGCAATAAAACAACGGGCGAACCCACACAATATTTCCAGCATACATCAAGACGAAGAAACGGAATAATGTCGGGCACGCAATGCGAAACGCACCAGCAGGAACGGCACAGCCGAACGCCACCTCCGTTTCATATAAATTAAGTATAACGGAGCCGAACAAAGGCTTTCAAAATAATTACCGAAGGAAGAATCGCGCTGTAAATAATAAATAATCGAGTTGTTAGTCACTTCGGTGACGAGAAGATGAGGGGCGCGAGCTCGGGCCAGAAGAGAGCTATCTGATCTCGGTGGATGGGAATGCTCCATAAAGACGCACACACGCACATATTGTTGGGCTCTTTGCAGAGGGCGCTAATTCGATTTGGATTACACGGGGGACACGAGGGCTTACCAGAGCTACGCTGTTACGAAACCGATAAGATTAATTGATTGGGACGAACATTCGGCCAGATTTTCGGCCGGAATTTTTGAATTGCGCGCTGCGGATGGGAGGATGATTGCTATAGTTACGTTGACGGTTGAGTGACTTTGGAGAGAACTTTGGTGCTTCTGGTTGAAATTTAGGGGTGGTTTTGCAAGATCTGGAGAAGTGAAGAATGCAAGCTGTCAGGGGTTTGCGACCGCTGCTTTTGAAAAGTAGACAAGGCAAGTACTATATCTGGATACGAGTGTAATTTTTACGATAGTTGATTGTCAAATTTTGGGTTCGGCTAGACTAAAAAGAACAGTCTTAATTTTTTCTACACTAGCACCAGAATTTGTTACTTGAGTTGGCACTTGCAGGATTTGTTACAGTACCTTGCGTTTCAAACTCTTTTTTTTCGAAATTGTTTTATTGTACAATGGGAATTTTCCCTCTTGCCATTGCAACATTTATTTGATGATGTCAGGTCAGTTAATTAGGTACTTTTAATGTAGTTTCGAAGCTCAGAACAAAAAAACTGGTTTAAAACTATTAGCTCTAGAACTTTCCTGGTACCTAAAAAACAAACAAACAAGTCCAGTGTCTTCCAAAAATTATAAAATATGATTCTGAAATGTTTTATTCATGCAATAAAATTAATGGTGATGGCTAAAAATTATGAAAAACTATTGCCCATCAATAAGTCCAAGTCAGTACCAAGACTTGTTTTTAAAATACATATTCATTTTCTAAGTCGAATTTTTAAAATATCTCAAAAACTGTCAAATTTTATCTTGGTAATTTTGGAAAAATGGTAGTAATTTTCGAAGAACTGAAGTTATAAAACACTTGAGCGGATCAAAATCAATAAAAAAAACTAGAGTTTCGAAAGTTATCGAGAAAAGGTCGAAAATTTCATAAGGGGGAACTACCAAAAATTTTTGAGATGTTGCCCAAAAATCCTCAAAAAATGTTGGAAGATTGAGGGGTTACCATCGAAAACCCAGAAGCAATCGTGCCATTTTTGTTAAGAAAATATTTAGTGCCATATCCGAAAGATTTAGAGTTAAAAATTTTTTTTTTAATGTAGGGATGATGGATTTATCAAGGACAATAATTCCAAATCGTTACAATGACTAAGTAGGTTTCGAAATATTCGGTTGTACAGTCAAATTTTTAAAATATCTCAAAAATTGCAAAATTTTATTTGGCGATTTTGGAAAAATGGTAGGGATATTCGAAGAACTGAAGAGATCGAAATTAACGAAATAATCTCCTTTGCTAATTTTCGAAAATTCTCCGGGAAAGTTCGAAAATTTCTAAGTGGAAAAATTGAAATTTTCGAGAACTTGCCTAAAAATTTTCAATAAATTCTGGGAGATAAGTTTTGGTTCTAAAATTGGTGCGGTACCACCGAAAATGCCATTTTTGTGAAGGAAATATTTAGCGCAATTTCTGAAAAATTTGGAGGTCAAAAATTATTGAAATAAATCGTATTAATATAGGAATTATGTATTTATCAGAGACAATAGTTTCAATTCGGTACAACGACTAGATTTAGAAATAATCGGTTATAAAATCGAATTTTTAAAATATCTCACAAATTACAAAATTTTATTATTGGCGATTTTCGAAAAATGATAGGAATTTTCGAAAAACTGAAGCTATGAAACACTCCTCTCTCAAATTTGGAAAGTTCTCGAAGATAGGTCGAAAATTTCGTAAAGGGGAAGTCTTAAAAATTGATACTGCTACGAAAGAAACCTATACGCCTCTCCGGTACGACGTCTATGGGTTCTGGTATATATAGTGATGATAACTCATCGTCGATGACGGCGGCCCGGCGGCGTTCGCTAAAGAAAAGTCTGGAAGCGGAAGTCGCGATGAGCAATTCTAAAAGACCTCATCTGCGGAACTTCTAGAAGGGAAGTAGGTATGGCTCTAAATAGAGGCTATCTTCGGGAACGATTTAGCCAGTTCAGTCAGTCAAATTGTGTCGGAATTATTTTGTACTTAATCGCTGTGTAATTAGTCGTGTAAATTTGAGTTACTAAGAAATAAATTGTTAAGTTTTACACAGGCCGATTTGTATTTACCGAACATCATAACAATACTTTCGAGAAGTTTCCTTAAAATCTTCAATAAACTCTGGAAGATAAGATTTGGACGAGTTGAATTAAAAATATGGCATGTTGATGGTTCTGGTTCCAAGATTGATGACTTACCATCGAAAACCCAGGAGCATTGGTCCTATTTTGTTAAGGAAATATTTAGCGCGAATTATAAAAAACTTGGTGGTCAAAAATTATAAAAGAAATCGTGTTTATCTAGGAATGATGGATTTATCAGGAATAATAATTCGGTACGATGACTATGTGAAATTTTTAAAATATCTCAAAAATTCCAAAATCTTATGTTGACGATTTTGGAAAAATTGCAGAAATTTTCGAATAACTGAAGTTTTAATACACTTCAGGGGATTGGAATCAACAAAATGATCTCCTCTTTCCAGTAGCAAATAGTATAACAAAAAGTTTACGATTAGTGTTTTTTTTTACTTTTTTCACATCTTGGATTGTATTAGTTTTCACTACCACTTGATTGGAAAACATAATTAGCCCCGCCCACCCACCCTACCTTCATTTCAGTGATTAATTTTATCTGCATTGAATGAAATTAATGATCTTATACAAAACATAAACAAAATTAATCGTTAGAACGAAAAAGTGGGGGTGGGCGGGCTAGAACTTGCTAAGATAAAACTGATTTTGGTAAATGACATACTTTCCGAGAAAATAGAGGGCGGGTGGGCGGGGTTTGTATTTGCTTAAGCCAAGACTGTTTTTGCCTAATTAGATACCTTCCAAGAAAATAGGCGCGGGTGGGCGGGGCTTATATGTCGTAATATTACGCTAATTTTGTCACTTTGGCCATTTTCGACAAGTTTTCAACCATTTTCGAAAATTTCTACATTTCTTCCAAAATCGCCAATTGAAATATAGCAATTTTTATAGTTCCAGTAGCAAATAGTATAACAAAAAATTTACGATTAGTACTTTTTTTTACTTTGTTCACATGCTGGATTCTATTAGTTTTCACTACCACTTGATTGGAAAACAAGTTCTCGGGGAAATATTGAAAATTTCGTAAGTGGAAAATCCTAAAAAAATTGAAATTTTCGAAAAGTTCCCTAAAAATCTTCAATAAATTCTGCGAGCTAGATTTGGAGCTGATTCCAAAAATATGGTATGTTTATGGTTCTGGGTCCAAGATTGATCGCTTACCATAGAAAATCTAGTAGCAATGGTGTTATTGTTGTTAAGGAAATATTTAGCGCGATTTCTGAAAAATTTGGTAGTCAAAAATTATTTTAAAAAAATCGTATTTATTAGGGACAATAATTCCAATTCGATACAACGACTAGGTTTTGAAATAATCGGTTGTAAAATAAAATTTTTCTAAAATAGTTCTCGAGGAAAGATCGAAAATTTCATAATGAGGAAGTATTAAAAGTTTAAAATTTTCGAAATGTTGCCCAAAAATCCTGAAAAAATTGTGGGAAATAGATTTCGACCAGCTGAATCCAAAAATACTGCATATTGATGGTCCCACGTCGAAGATTGAGGGGTTACCATTGTAAATCCAGAAGCAATCGTGCATTTTTGTGAAGGAGATATTCAGTGCGATTTCTGAAAAAATTTGTGGTCAAAAATTATTAAAAAAATCGTGTTTATCTAGGAATCATGGATTTATCAGTGATAAGAATTCCAATTCAGTATAATTAATAGGTTTCGAAATAATCGGTTGTAAAGTAAAATTTTTAAAATTTTATTTTTCGATTTTGGAAAAATGGTAGAAATTTTCGAAGAACTAAAATTATAAAACACTTTAGGGGATCGAAATCAACAAAAAAAAAAACTCCTTTGCGAAGTTTCAAAAGTTCTCGAGGAAATTTAAAATTTTCGAAATGTTGCCGAAAATTGCTGGAAAAAATTCTGGGAGATCGATTTCGACCAGCTTAATCCAAAAATATCGCATGTTGAAGGTCGCTGTTTCAAAATTGGGGGGTTACCATCGAAAATCCAGGAGCATTTTTTCCATTTTTGTTAAAGAAATGTTTAGTGCGATTTCTGAATAACTTTGTGGTCAAAAATTATGAAAAAAATCGTGTTTATGTAGGAGTGATGGGTCTACCAGAAACAATAATCCCAATTCGATACGACGCGAGGACTGGGTTCCGAAAAATTTGGTTCCAAATTCCAATTTTTAAAATATCTCAAAAATTGCCAGTGTTGTTTTGGAGATTTTAGGAAAATGGTAGGAATTTTCGAAAAACTGAACTTGTAAAACACTTCAATGGACCGAAATCAACAACAAAATAATCTCTTTTGCTAAACTCCGAAATTTGCCGGGAAAAAGTTAAATATTTCATTGAGGGGGTATAAAAAAATTGAAATTTTCAAGGAGTTGCCTAAAAGTCCTCTAAAAATTTTGAGAGATAGTAGATTTCGAAGAGTTGAATTGAAAAATATGGATGGCATGTTGGTGGCTCCGTTCCCAAGATTGACGGCTTACCATCGAAAATCCAGGAGCAATGGTGCTATTTTTAATAAGAAAATATTTAGTACGATTTCTGAAAATCTTTGTGGTCAAAAATTATGAAAAAAATTGTGTTTATTTAAGAAACATGGGTCAATTAGGCATAATAATCCCAATTCGATACGACGACTAGGTTTCGAAATATTCGGTTATAAAATCAAAATTTTAAAATATCTCAAAAATTGCAAATTTTATTTGGCCATTTTCGAAAAATGCTAGAAATTTTCGAAGAAATGAAATTGTAATACCTACATTTCGGGAGTCGAAATCAACAAAATAGTTTCATTTGCCAAGTTTTGAACGTTCTCGGGGAAAAGTCGAAAATTTCGTAAGAAAAATTGAAATTTTTCAGAAGTTGCGCAAAAATCCTGAAAAAATTCTGGGAGATAGATTTCGACGAGTTGAACCCAAAAATATTGCATGTTGATGGTACCAGTAGTAATGGGTTACCATCGAAAATCCAGGAGTAATCGTGCAATTTTTGTTCAGGAAAAATTTGGCGCGATTTCTGAAAAAAATACTGCAAAAGTGCTTTTTTTTCAATGCTGCAAAGTGCTACAAATTAAGTAAATACGGATTTGGATACAGGTTTTAATTCTCTACAATGTTGATATTAAATATTTTGCTCTAAAATAATTAGGGGAGTAAAAATTTTAAAATTTCTGTTTTTACATGTAAAATCCATATCCAATCCATCATATTTAAGTGACATTTACACAGGGGAAAACTAGCCAAGAAAGTTTGATAAACAACAAATTATGCAGAGTCTTTAGCTTACTTACGATTATGAAATGCGTTGTTTTTAAAAATTCTGGTAATTGAAAAGAAATTAGTCCATTTCATGTATTATCTTCCGAGCTTGCTTGACAAACCCTTGACTGTATAAACGGTACTTAAAAAAATTAAAAGAATTATTTCTGAACAACCATTTTTGTATTAAACGAAATTTGTACAGGTTTTTAAAGAAAATAAATTAAATAGGGGTAAGTTTTAAAGATTTTCGGGTTTAGAAGAGAACTTAAAACAAATTCTCGTTTTATTTAACATTTAGTTTATTAACACAAGAGAATTCTCACATGCATTAGATACTTTTTGATGTTCTTACTCTAACGATTTGTTTTTAATTTCTGTGAACAAAACAAATTTTGTTATCTTTTCCTCTTTCAGACAGATCTTAAATCCCTACATCGCGAAACAGTTAGCCATTCATTATGATTCGTTTTTTTAATCAACATCTATAAACAATATAATTACACTTCTAACATATCCGTAAAGATTTCACACAACCAGGAACTCTGTAATATAACGTTGTTTCGGTTCGACACCCCCATTTTTAATCTACAACAGACAAAAATCATATTTTGATAATTATTCTGTTTCAGTCTTCATCCAACGCAACTATGCAAAGAAAAAGAAGAAAGATAAATTTCCCAAAGTTACTCTCAACGATCTGCCAAATCCTGAAGGTGACTGGTTCACCGAATACAACAAGCGCCAGAAAACTTACAACCTGCATTTAGTCCTAGGAATCGGATTTCTTGCGTTTTCAATAGCCGTGGGAGTGCCTCTGAACCAATACCAATTCTACAACCACCTCCCTGAGGAGATGCCAGAAATCGAATGTTACAAATAATTAAAACAATATTTAATTCCGTTAATGTAGTTTTGAGTTAATTAAATAATTTATGTAAAAATATTTCACTTTATTTCTTCTAACGCTTAAATTCAGTTGTGGTGGCCCATTTCGAAAGTAATTATAAAATTAAAGTTTGTCAATTACGTGCTGAAAAAAGCTTCGAAACACTTTTGCCTCATTAAACAATAATTGCTGATTTGATATTGCTCTTTCACAACGCAATCTCTCGAAAACGTTTGGTAACGTTCATAATGATAGTTTCTAAAAATAAATACAAATCCATCATGAATGGTTATCTAACGGAAGCATGCGGTTAAAATTTCATAACATGTAAAAACGAAATATTAATTCCATCCCACTTACTTAAGACCGCCATTATCCTATATCATCTATTCGAGAAGAACAAATAGTCTTTTTACAACTACATGACAGCACTGAATTTCTTTTTGTTTGCGACTAACTAACGGTATGGACAATTTACAGTCGTTGAAATTTTTTGGTTACGCAAACATGACAAAACGCGGTTTTTGCGTGCTTTTTTCGGGCATTTGAACTGTAAATTTAGGAAGCGTAACCTAAAATAGTTACCCAATAAACTAAATAAACAGTTGTTATTAAATTTCGCCACTGAAATGACGAATTAATAAAACTTGCCTCTTCAATTTTTTATTCATTACCAGTTTTGGTTGGATAAAGTTATTTTAAGTGGGCGATATTTCAAAATTTTCTATGTAAAGTTGTCTAAAACAGTTTGGAAGTGGCGTCCCTAGCGTAAAAATTCGGCGCTTATTCACAGCAGGCGTTTACGTAAGGCATTGAGTAATCGTTTTTAGCAGTGTAGAGGGTAAGTAGGAGGCAATTACTCTCCCGCCCTCGGGGATTTCGGACACCATAAGTTCATTAGAAGTCAATCAACTAACATGCGAATAAACTGAACAAGCCGCCTGCGATTTGCTCCCTCTGCCATCAAATAAATACGTTTGTTTTCGAATTTTTTCCCGACTTTCGAACAAATTGGTCCCAATCATGTCCCTGCCCTAGCCGAATAACATACTAATTTCTCCGTCTGACTTTTATCGCGTGACAAATTTCTGTCGCCGGCGCACACAAAAAAAAAATACTTAAAACAACGACAATCTAAGCCTGCTGTGCCGTAATCAATATAAATAGGAAGATAGGGCGGAATACCTTCGAAATTACTTGTAAATGCCCTCGGATTCGGTGATAATGTAGAAGAAACGGTCGGACTAAATGTGGCCACCTTTTTTCTTCGAGCGTTATTTATTGCTGGAGATATTATGAAAGTTTCATTTAATTTCTCTGAAATTTTAATGGAAGGTTTCAGCTGGCGGATTCATTGGCTCATCGTGATTAAGGCTTATTAAATACGGTTTATTGGAATTTCCCTCATCGCTTATGTTATGAATTAAATACTTTTATTAATTAGCGACGACGGCTGGGCGGTGTAAATTTTTTAAAATGGAGTGTCTCGTTCTGACAGAGAAAACAGAGTCACGTTTGAACTTATATTGATCGCTTCTTATTGTGTACTGGGTGAATAGTTAATTAATTTAAGCTTCTGTCACGTGTTTAAATTGGATAATAAGATTAAACCCAACGTGCACTTAAATTAAATAAAAACTGCCAGAACATTTAAATTTTTTATTTAAATTGATGATACTGTGCTTCGGTCTTACCAGAAATCCGTTTAATTTTGATGAATTCCGGCATAATTAAAATTTATTTAATAATAATAACATCAATTAAAAATTTTAACAGCCATATTTCGGTGTGAAAATATCTTAATCTAAGTTGGACACACATAAATAAATTATTAATCAAAAATTATCATAAACGTCTTAATTATGTGCGCACACAATGGCAAAAATCTGTGTTGTGTGAATATATGAGGCAGTTTTTCTAATATACAGTATGTCCGCTCACTTTAAGTTTTTTCATTGTGCGATTATACAAAATGGTAGTAGTTACCGAAGAAATGAGGCCGAGAGTAAATCTGGGGGTCGAAATCTTTAATTAGTTTGGAAGTTGGTCGAAAAAAGCCGACAATGAAAATTGTAAAGGAGAACTGAAAAATTGTGCTTTTGAAATATTTGGCCAATAGTTCACAAAAAATTCTGGGATAGATTCCGAGATTCTTTCAAATTACTTCAAAATCAAGAAAAGGGGCTTTGATATATAAAATTACTTCAAAAGCAAAACACAAGGGGTCTCCGAAATTCTTTCAAATTACCTTAAAAACAAGGTATGGAATCCCCGAGATTCTTTCAAACTACTTCAAAAACAAGACAAAAGGGGTCCTCAAGATTTTTTCAAATTACTTCAAAAATAAGACAAGAGATCCCCAAGATTCTTTTAAACCACTTCAGAAAAAAAAACAAAAAGGATCTCTGAGGTTCTTTTAATTACCTTAAACACAAGACCAGGAATCCCCGAGATTCTTTGAAACTACTTCAAAAACAAGACACAAGGGGTCTCCGAGATCCTTTCAAATTACTTCAAAAATAAGACAAGGGATCCCAGGGATTCTTTCAAAATACTTCATAAACAAAACAAAAAGTCTCCGAGATTCTTTTCAAATTACTTCAAAAAGAAAGCCCAATGGGTGTCCCTGAGATTCTTTCAAATTACCTTAAAAAGAAGCTAATGGATCCCCAAGATTCTTTCAAACTACTTCAAAAACAAAGCCCACATTGGTTCCTAACATTCTTTCAAATTGCCTTAAAAACAACGATCCCGGAGATTCTTTCGAACTACTGCAAAGACAAAATACAAGGGATCTCCGAGTTTCTTTCAAATTACTTCAAAAATAAGACAAGGGATCCCAGGGATTCTTTCAAACTACTTCAAAAACAAAACACGAGGAGTCTTCGAGATTCTTCCAAATTACTTCAAAAACAAAGTCCACACTGGTCCCTAACATTTTTTCAAATTACCTTAAAAACAAGGATCTCCTAGATTCTTTCGAAATACTGCAAAGACAAAATACAATGGGTCTCCGAATTTCTTTCAAACTACTTCAAAAATAAGACAAGGGATCCCAGGGATTTTTTCAAAATACTTCAAAAACAAAACAAAAAGTCTCCGAGATTCTTTTCAAATTACTTCAAAAAGAAAGCGTAATGGGTGTCCTTGAGATCCTTTCAAATTACCTTAAAAACAAGCTAATGGATCCCCAAGATTCTTTCAAACTACTTCAAAAACAAAGCCCACATTGGTCCCTTACATTCTTTCAAATTACCTTAAAACAACGATCCTGGAGACTCTTTCGAAATACTGCAAAGACAAAATAAAAAAATCTCCGAGTTTCTTTCAAATTACTTCAAAAATAAGACAATGGATCCCAGGGATTCTACCAAACTACTTCAAAAACAAAACACGAGGAATCTCCGAGATTCTTCCAAATTACTTCAAAAACAAAGTCCACACTGGTCGCTAACATTCTTTCAAATTACCTTAAAAACAAGGATCTCCGAGATTCTTTCGAACTATTGCAAAGACAAAATACAAGGGGTCTCCGAGTTTCTTTCAAATTACTTCAAACATAAGACAAGGGATCCCAGGGATTCTTTCAAACTACTTCAAAAACAAAACACAAGGAGCCTCCGAGATTCTTTTGAAATAATTTTAAAAAAGAAAGCCCAGTGGGGGTCCGTGAGATTCTTTCAAATTACCTTAAAAACAAGCTAATGGATACCCAAGATTCTTTCAAATTACTTCACATACAAAAACAAGGAGTCTCCGAGATCCTTTCAAATTATTTCAAAAACAAAGCCCACATTGAGTCCCTAAGATTCTTTCAAATTACCTTAAAAACAAGCTAAGGGTTCCTCGAAATTTTTTCAAACCACTTCAAAGACAAAATATAGAAAATTCCCGAGATTCTTTCAAGCTGCTTTAAAAACAAAACACAAGGAGTCTCCGAGATTCTTTCAAATTACTTCAAAAACAAAGCCTACATTGGTCCCTAATATTCTTTCAAATTACCTTAAAAACAAGGTAAGGGATCCCCGAGATTCTTTCTAACTACTGCAAAGACAAAATACAAGGGGTCTCCGAGTTTCTTTCAAATTACTTCAAAAACAAGACCCTCAGGGGGTCCCTGAGGCTCTTTCAAATGACCTTAAAAACAAGACAAGAGATCCCCAAGATTCTTTTAAATCACTTCAAAAACAAAACAAATGGGATATCCTAGATTCTTTCACTTAGTTACTTTAAACACAAGACAAGGAATCTCTGAGATTCTTTCTCTTTCAAACTACTTCAAAAACAAAACAAAAGGGATCCCCGATATTCTTTCAAACTACATACATACTTCAAAAACAAAAAAACAAGGGATTTCTGAGATTCTTTCAAATTTCTTCAAAATCTCGAACTACTTCAAAAATAAAAAACAAGGGGTCCCCGAGATTGTTTCAGATTACTGCAAATACAAGAAAGAGATCCCCGAGATTCTTTTAAACCACTTCAAAAACAAATTAAAAGGGATCTACGCGATTTTTTCAGTTGCCCTAAACACATTATATACATTTTTTCCTGTCTCCTGTATGCAAAAAGAAACAGCGATCAATTTAGAGGGCTTGATCATGTATATGATACAAGACATAAAAGCTTACTTCAACCCGAATTTCTAAGGCTTTCACGTACAAGAAATGGTGTACGATTTTTTTGTCATCAGCTGTTTAACAGTCTTCCACTAACTCTTAAAGACAAAAGTTACGCCAGTTTTAGATTTTGTGTAAAAACCTTATTAATTGAGAATGTTTTTTATTCATTAGAAGAATTTGTAAAATTTAATTTTCGCTAGTGTACCTACTTATATTTGACGTATGAAAAATTACTATGTAATTCTTGTCATGAATAAATTATTATTATTATATTATTATTATTATTACAAGAAAAGGAATCTCCGAAGTTCTTTCAAACAACTTCAGTAGAGTATAAAATGTTACTTCTGGGCCAGAGCATTTGGCGTCTTAAAAATCAAGGCAGAATCCAACAAATTTAACTGTTTTCCCAAAAGTTAGCAACCGAAAAAGACC